CCCCCAAGGCCTATGTCATAAGTCTCAAGAACATAACATGCCGTTTGAAATGGAGCGTTGGTTTGATGTTTCAACCTCCCCCCTCAGGTTCGGTTTCGTGAACGCATCACAATCCTCCGTGGTAACCACGAAAGCAGACAGATCACGCAGGTGTATGGGTTTTACGACGAGTGCTTACGGAAATACGGCAACGCGAACGTCTGGAAGTACTTCACCGACCTCTTCGATTACCTTCCCTTAACTGCCTTGGTAGATGGTCAGGTGAGTAGTCGCTGGTCTTGACTGGGAGATTGTGCTCACTTGTTTACCGTGTGGTGCTTGTTGATATTCGAGTCGGCTTTCATTTATTAATTTTTTTTTTTTTTTTTTTTTTAGATATTCTGTCTTCACGGTGGATTGTCACCATCAATAGATACACTGGATCACATCCGAGCCCTGGACCGCTTACAGGAAGTTCCACATGAGGTGAGAGATCCTGCTAGGTGGAGCTGAACGCCTTCATGCTTAGTCACGCTGTGTCCTGTCACTGATCCTCTCGTCATCACCTTCAGGGACCTATGTGTGACCTCCTGTGGTCAGACCCGGATGACCGGGGGGGCTGGGGAATCTCCCCCCGTGGTGCCGGCTACACCTTCGGACAGGACATCTCTGAAACATTCAACCACGCCAACGGCCTTACCCTGGTCTCCAGAGCTCACCAGCTGGTCATGGAGGTAAGACCCCAGGGCTCCAGGATGTGGCTGTTGGAGATCTGATGTCATCTTTTGCAGTTTAAGATGACAGTTGGCTCAGGTTATATGAGTGGTGGTGACTGTCTATCAAAGTGGAAAGCCTTTGCGTCACTGCTGAACGCTGTAACATAAAGCCTTTGCTATGATTAAACATTAAGAATTTTTATTGATCCCAGGTGGAAATTCTTGTGCATTGAGCAAATGCTTATTATTCAGCTGTACTGCTTTCGTAAAAATAATTCGTATTATGAGTTACTTGCGCAAGAATATTGTTCATCAGTTTAACAAAATTGAAGCACCTGATTTACAAAATGGTGATGTGATACTGTGCTTCTCTGGAAAGATATACAAGTACTGCAGCACCACAAATATCACACTTTGGTTTGCTCGGGCACTGTGCTAGAGCACAATCAGTTGCCACAGAAACAAGTTGGGGAGCTGGTGGTTTTGTTGATGGAAAGGGAGGGTGCTTTGCTAGAAGCGGCGGAATGACTGTAGGACCCTTGTCTCAGCTTTAATTCGGGTTGCTGCTTCCTAATGAAAGCTTCTGTCTTGCAGGGTTACAACTGGTGCCACGATCGCAATGTGGTAACAATTTTTAGCGCGCCAAATTACTGCTATCGCTGTGGCAATCAGGCAGCTATCATGGAACTTGATGACACCTTAAAGTACTCCTTGTAAGTATTACAATCACCCCCCAAACCTTTTTTTCCCCCTCACATACTCGTATAGCCCTCAGGTGCCACCGTGCCTGGGGACCTGCACGTGTATGTTTGTAGTTTGTGAGGAGGACCTGCTGTTTAACTCATCATATTTAGTCTAGGGTGGGTTGGCACACTGCCCTTGATCCAGAAGGTCAGCAGTTCAAATCCCACAGTCAGCAGAGTGATTTCACCATTGGGGCCCTGGAGCAAGGCGCTCAACTTCCCCTGCTTTCTCAAAATGAATAAACAAATAAAGTAGTGAACGTCACTTTGGATAAAACATCTGCTAAATGATTAAAGGGTAAAAGCAAATGTCTCATTTGCTTCAGTTAGCCATATTATTTGGAAATGAATGTGTTAAAAAAAGATAAATGGCCAGTAGCACTGCAGTAAACAATTGCTAATATTAGCTTGTATAACACACACTTCTCCATCACTACTCCATCACTACTCCATCGCTAACATAATCTCTGCTTCCCCCCCAGCCTGCAGTTTGACCCGGCACCCCGCAGAGGCGAGCCGCACGTGACACGTCGCACTCCAGACTACTTCCTGTAAAACATTTCTGTACAGTATCATCGCAATTTAATATCCGGTCAACTTAACAAATACAGGGGGGGGGGGGGGGGACGGGGCTGGGATGTGGAACGACTGAAACAGACCTCCAATCTGAGAGCAGCAACTATTTAAGAATTCAGTAACCACCTGTGAACATGGACCAAAAGGTGTGCCATACTCAGAATCAAAATTTTAAAGGATCTGTCGAAGAAGACCATGAACAGTGAATTCCTCAATGCATGTTTAAGATTTATTTAAGCTGCCATTTTTTCTTTTTTGTAACTTACAAAAATTTTACACATACGTGCACATATACGATATTTATAAGATTATGCTATGCTATAGCCAGTTAGAACTATATACTCACAGATGGTAAAAAATTTCCCGGGTACTGTTAGTGTTGTAACATCAGAAGGAAGTAAGTATGTAATCTCTGAAACACACTCTGGAAAAGTCGACGGAAGCTGAGCTCTAGTTACGAAGGGTTCATTTTCAGCTTTGTTCAGCAAGCTATGAAAGAAGGCAGTGAACATGCATTAAAACTTTAAGTTACCATGGCCTGTTGTTGGGAAGATTGGAGTTTTCATCTTCAGGAAAGTGTTTGTCTGCACTTTTGTTTAGAATTAATTTAATTTTTTGTGACATTCATCAGTAGAACTGAACAGGTTCTGTATTTTTGTTACTTCAGCAGACAGCCGGTTTTCTGCTGCTTTTTGTGTCTTTCTCCTTTCTGTACTTCAGTTCCAGTTGTGAACGAAATGCTTAAGACATTGTTCGTTTGTATGTAAGGAAGACACATGCCGATCTGGAAAAAGGGTTTCACTAACACTTCAGAGGTTTAACTGTATGTAGGAATCCAGTTGAATAAAGATGGAAGTTGCTCCTTCAGATACAGAAGTGTGTGAGTGTGTGTGTTTGCATCGGATGCAGGGACCCAGTCTAAGTGTCCGTGTGGAACAAAAGCAGTTCCTTAAAGTACTAGCAAAACAAGACATTGATTACACCATATAATGGCTTGTACTTAAGGGGCAGAGGTTAAAATCTTAGGGACATATTTGGGTGGTTAGGTTTACTGCTGCCATCCTACTTGTGTGTGACATGTCTTGTGACATATATTTGTATATTGTATATGATGACCTAATTGAAATGGCCCTCCAATTCAGTGAACACTTATGCACTAGAATACTTGAAGCTATATATATTACTGATGCAAACCTGAAATGGGGTGGAAAATTAAATGATTATCGAGCCTAAAGAGAAATCGTAAAGCATGCATCAACCTCAAGGCGTGGGTTGAGTTTCCGCAATGGTAGAGACCAAGTTAGCCTCAAGCCCCCCCGCCGCCCCCCAAACACAGGCGGTACTACCACGTTATTAGGGACGTGTCCCTATCGTCCACACGCACATTTACACCCTTGATCAACCGTTCGCACAAGAGATTCCCAGAGAAGACAGAAAGAGGTACGAATAAAATTAATCGGGTACAATAACGCAGGCGTTACACTTTTTCACAGTACAACTGGCAGACTGCTATTTCGGAAATGAGGTCGATAGAAATTTCAAGGAAATGTGGCAAAAACACGGGAGATTAACAGAAACAAAGATACGTGCTAAAGGGTAACATTGAGGGTATTGCTCATAAGATCATGAGATGCAGAGAGTTCGTTATCAATTAAAATCATATTACTATTTATAACAAAACCAGCAGTTATTTATATATCAGTGCTTTCACAATAAAGGGCAATACATAGAGGCATTTGAACTCAAGCTATTAATTCATCTAAATACTATAAAATAGCTGATTTTATAACAGATCGACGATAAAAACGCCATTTACAGCGGGCTGTCCAATACTTTGCCTGAATAACGAGAAAATGTATTTTTGTCTTTAAAATAAAACCAAAAACTGTATAAATATTTTTGAATATACAATGATTCTAAATCTATGCCACAAATGTAAATTATATGTGTTTTTATTTGATGAGAAATTAAAGTTGGCAATATGACTAGACTACTTAGATATCTAAGCGTCCGCTTGTTTGACAAAAGCGACAAATACTCATACTGACGCTTGAACATACATAAATTTGTGGACAGAAGTAGGTTCATAGTAAGTATTAAGCATCTGTTGAATATAGTAAAGCAATATATAAATGTTGTTTGATTTAAAAAAATGGTAAAACTAAACGTGAAGTAAAACGGTACATTAATTGAAACGGTTGCTAACTAACGCCAGTAGCTAAGCTAGGATTTTCGAGGGAAGGATATTTCAGGTTGTTTAGCGTCATCGTTTCCTGTGGCTTGCAAGGGGGGTAACGTTAAAATGTTGGGAAATATGTGATCATAAAGATGGGTTTTTTACCGAGTGAACTGAACGCGTACACACACGTTACCTAGCTATGCAGCCTGGCTGTTATTGTGTAGAAATACAACATGATGCGTAAACACTGATTCGCTGCTGTGTCGCTTCGCTTAACCGAAATCAACTTGATACTCAAGACAGAAATAGCGAAGAAGTGTAAAGTGTCCGGTTGTATTTGAGAAGGTAATAGGAGAATTAATCGCTAAACCAGTTTCTCGGTTAAAATACATATTATAAAAATCGTTCCGGCTTTGGTACGTCCCGCTCTTCGTGACGATAGACCCAGTTTGGACCGAATTCACCTGTATACAGCTCTCAGATTTACAAAAAAATTCAACATTATGAAATATATGTTTTTGAGCAGTCGTTTACTGATAGCATTGCCCATACGGAGCTTAGGAGCATTTTATTGCATTTTCTAGATGCCCACGATTAAACTGCAGAGCTCCGATGGGGAGATATTTGAAGTCGACGTTGAAATAGCTAAACAGTCCGTCACCATTAAGACGATGCTTGAAGGTACGTGATTTTATTTTTTTACACTAACCATACTGTGTCATAATGGATTGTCAAAAGGGTGTCGTTATTTATTTGGTAAAGCAACTAATGTTCTTGTGTAGATCTGGGCATGGATGATGAAGGAGATGACGACCCTGTTCCGCTTCCCAATGTTAACGCCGCTATTTTGAAGAAGGTAATTGCCCCCTTGTGGTAGAAGGCTGGAAAAACTTCCCTATGTGCGGTGCTTCTGTTCAGATTCTACGTATTTACTGTAATCCAACATGTGAATTTTGGCATACGATGCCGGTTTGCAACAGGCAATGAGTCCGCAAAACTGGCTGAACGGTTTATTAACAAGAATTTGTGACAAAAGTACTCACAGCAACACTAAGCACAAAACTTGCAGAACCGGTCCTCAGATCAGTTACTGCAAACGTGGAAGGATCCCTCTGAGCCGTCTCCAGCTGGCGGGCCCTGTTTGTCCTGTACAGATGGGGGCTCTGCACCCCTCCGCGACAGACTGACTCTGCTGGAGGATTTGCATCCATCTCTAATTCTTGGAATTGTGTGCTGAGCCTGTTGCGTAGTTTACGTTCAGCTTCATCTCCCTTGGCCTAAAATATTTGTGCTTTTCCTTTTTAGTAAGGGGGGAAAAACATATTTTGAGGAAAGTAAATGCTAACAATGAGGGTGGAGTATGGCTCTGTGGGTTAGGATGTTGGGCCTGTGATCAGAAGGCGACCTGTTCAAATCCAAGGGTTGACAGTGATTTCACCTTTGGGCACTTGAGCAGGGCCCTTAACTTCTAGTTGCTATGGAGACCGTATGACTTTCTCAGTGTGCATTGTTTGTATAAATACATGTAGTATTTCTGGTGTGTTTCTTTGTGGTTTTTGTCTGCCAGTATTTGCCTACTGACCCCAGTCCTTGATGAGTGACGCTCTTTGGGCTTGCAGGTAATCCAGTGGTGCACCCACCACAAAGACGACCCTCCTCCCCCTGAGGACGACGAGAACAAAGAGAAAAGGACAGATGACATCCCTGTCTGGGATCAGGAGTTTCTGAAGGTTGATCAAGGAACATTGTTCGAACTGATCCTGGTGAGTGATGTCACTTCCTTTGTGAGTGAGTACTCGTGGTAGGTTCCATTTACCTCTGTGGTTGGAAGTCTGAGCTGGGAATGATGTCACTTCCTTTGTGAGTGAGTACTCGTGGTAGATTTCATTTACCTCTGTGGTTGGAAGTCTGAGCTGGGAATGATGTCACAGCCGAGTTAACCGCATTCTAGTATAACAAGTTGGAAAACCATTTAACAATACCAGTTTTATCCAGGTTAATTTTTGGCCATTGTTAGCAATACCAGTTGATAACGCATTATGCGGTATTTTGCACATACAAGTACCCTAGCACTGTAATGAGACGCAAATAAGACATAAGTGCTAATAAATGGTATGTAACTACAGCTTTAACTTCTGTTGAAAAAGGACGCAGCCACTTTGAATTCTGTGGTTGGGGTTGTAGAGTTTCCTCCAACTTTCCGATTTGGAAGTCCAACTTCAGGGAGCAGGCCAGTTGAAATATCCGACTAGAAACTCTGAAATTCTGACTTCCCAGTTCAAATGCAATGCAATTCTATTTCAAATCTTCGCTCGTATGTGGTGGCTCTGAGGCTAGGGATCTGTGTCAGCAACTGGAAGGATGCTGGTTCAAATCCCGTGAATGCCCGGAGCTATTTTACTCCGTTGGGGGGGAAAAAAGTGTTTGTCATGTGGTGCGGCAATGCGCTGTAATCAGCACATTCTCCTTACCTCTCATATGTTCTCCCATTGGGGTCAACAAGAAATCGGTCATTACCACTTTACGATCAACTCAAGCACAGTAACACGTTAACTTTGACAGCCCTATTTAATACACAGTTATCTTGTGAAAGTGCTTGATGCAGGATTAGTTAGGGGCCAAATTGTGCACTGATGTGGTTTGTTTTAATGTTATATTAGAGCATGTGTGTTCGTGTTTGTTTTTCTTTTAATTTTTAATGTAGTGCAGTTGTAGTTTTCATTGTGATTTTATTTGTTTTTAAAGATATCCCTGTTTTTAATTTTAGTTTCGGTTTAAGTAAATATATTTCTAGGGATAGACAGTCATTGAACTGTTTGTGTTTAATCATATTAGAATCTTACATAAATACATAGTGCAGATTATGTACTAATGTGCTTAAAATGGACAAATCACATTTAAGGTATTAATGGTAAATAAAGAGAAATTACTTTAGCTGAATGGTATTAAAACAGTAACAAAGTATTTGGCATTTTGTTTTTGTTTCAAAAGCAATATTTATAGATTTTAGTTTTTTTAATTTTGTTTTTGTATTTTGTTTACAATTTATTTTTCTTAGTCTTTTGTTATAGCTGAAAACCCTGCTGTTCACTATTCAGGAGGTTCATCAGAAGCCTTTATAGGAGTCTTCACTCTCTCTCCCCCCCCCCCCCCCCCCCCCCCCCAACCCCACCCCTGCAGGCCGCCAACTATTTGGACATCAAGGGATTGTTAGATGTCACATGCAAAACTGTCGCAAATATGATCAAAGGAAAGACTCCAGAGGAAATAAGGAAGACGTTCAATATCAAAAATGATTTCACAGAAGAGGAGGAAGCCCAGGTAATGACTGTTGATGTTGAGGAAGCGCTCCCGTTCAGCCCATCGAAGGCGAACGGCATGTGATTTAACGTGCGGTCTGAACTTCTGTCTCTAGGTACGCAAGGAGAACCAGTGGTGTGAGGAGAAGTAAGCCAACACTATCGCACTGTAAGGATCGTTCCAGGATTTGGTTGCACTGCGCTGTTCATACTCATTCACATGAATTACTAGACTGGCAGTCCCTTGTATTTTGCATGATCATTCTCATTACTTGTATGGTGGAAATGTAAAATTCTATTTTTTCATTTTTACAAATTGGGCAGTTCGCTCGTTTCACATTATATATTTTTTTGATCTTGGATGCATCTTTCTAGTTTTTTTTTTTTTTTTTTAACTGGAAATATTGTTTTGGAATAAGTTTGGCAGAGAATGGTAAATGTCAGATTTACAGTTATGTAAGTGCTGTGCTCCTCCAGACAGCATTTTTTATTTAAAGTGTTATCATAGATGTGTGTATAAAATTCCAGGTAGAGTTTATCGTGGGCTCAATAGTGCTCGTAAACAAAGCAAATAGTTTGTCACATAATTCGGTATTTACCTTGCCTTCTATCAGTGGACATCTTACTTTGGTGGATAGAGCTCTTAATGATGTTTAGAAATGTTAGCAGTTGAATTTCATAAACAAGCAGATCATTTTTTTTTTTACCTTGTGCTGGTTTGTAAATCGCAGCACTTTACCTTGGAGGTTCATGCTGTGATGCCAGTCAGACTACAGCCCTAAGATGAAGTCCTTCTTTCGGTCTGTAAGTCTGAAATCTTTCGCCTTGTTGGCCTAGAACTCTCGAATAAAGCTGCCAGACAGTCTTGTCGTGGAATAGTTGAACTCTGAAAGTCATCTCTGCAAGGAAAATGCAGATCTATCCCTGGTCTGTAAGAGGCATCGTTACCTGATTTTAAAGGAAGACGCTGACGTACAAATTCAGGAAACGATGTCAGTCCTCATAAATATGTATCTTCACATGTCCTTTAGGCTTACAGTTTTATAGAGTTCACTTTATCCTCATATGCTAGAAATTTGCCAAACCCAGTCATAGGAAGTACTTTGTACATTTGTGTCCTGAGGAGAGTAGGCTACTGGGTCATTCTCACGAACTTCTGAATTCTAAAAAGTTACAATGCAGCAGTTTTTGTATACAGCAGTTCTTTTAACTCTTTAGTTATGTTAATTGCCATGGGTTGCTCCTGATTCTGATTTTTAAACCATATTTCCCAAATACTGTGATAGTTAAGATCAAATAGTGTACAGCTAGTAAATACTTTTAAATCTTTCAACTTTATTCCATTTAACCCACAACAAACAATTTGTGGTAAGATGCATGTTTTGCTTTTTTGGGTCATGTTTTCATCTCTAACTCTGGCCCTGGATTAGAGAGATAAATGGTAATAAAACTGACTAACTACTCCTGAGGCACAATTGACAGTTTAGATAATGAAGTCATATAATGTAAGTTTTAAAAACTGGAAATGTTTCCATAATGAATTTGTGAGAATGACCCTGCTGTTTAAATTGAGGCATCGGTACCTCTCATTCCTGTGTTGGCTCTAGGAAAGTAAACCTGAATTAAATGTATTGGAATCAATAAAGATCAGAATTGCAAAATTCAAAGAAATTTTAATAAATTGCATCATGTCGCAACATCAGTCTTAAAAAAGCGTAACTGTCTTCCACATGCTTTGATGTGAAATTTAGTGAAGAAAGACCTTAATTACAACTAACAAGCGACCTGCAGTACATAAAAAAAGAACAGAAACTAATCTACACTTCTACAAAAGAACATTTGGTGTCATTATACAGTCATGTATACACCATATCCAATCAGATTACAGATTTCTTCTCATCGCCACCTGCTGGACATCTTTTAAATTACAGCTTTTGGGAACCAATACACCGTAGTATACAGCAGGCTACAGGATTTTGTCAGCTTAGACAGGATCAAGCTACTGCTTTCACATTGTTTTTGGCTCTTCGATTTAGTACGTGCACAAATTATCAGACTCACGACCAGTGATACAGCCTGCTCGAATCCCAGGGCCAAATGGACAATAGAAGCTTTAGAACACAAATGCGAATTAGCTCTCTCCACAACCAAACAAAACACAAAAATGTACTTCCTTCTTAAAATACTCAATATTTTTGTATTTTCCTTTTTTACAAAACAACATATAAAAGTTTATTATATAATGAGTTCCACATTTATATAAAAAGATTTACAACACAATGAAGTACAGTACACATTTAATCTTTAGTTTGATAATGATAATGATTCAGTTTGTGTGGAGTCTCGATACCAGCACAGAATCTCACCCAGAGGTGGCACCACAACACCAAACAAACCACATGTTGAAACCCCTCGTACATCATCCTCCTCTGAAGCAATCGTATCCTATAAAACAGGCCAGTTGGGTGACGGCCCCATTAATTACCCATAATGCAAAGTGCCAACACAAACTACAGAAGCCTGGCCTGTCCCAGCGGGCCGACATAGGAACGGCCGCTGGCCAAACAACTCGCTTCAAATAGAACAGTTAACTGCAGTTGTGTTTTCAATGGTAAAATCGTTTGAATGATTTGCTGATGGTCTCCCGGAATTATTTTCAGATTTAGCAAAATACATACTGCAGAGTGCCATTGACACGCTGTATATTTTAACGTTTTTCAAAATGTGGCCGTGGCACAAATCCTTGCTTATCCAGACCATATTTGACGCTCAGATAAGCTATTTTTCATATTTTTTTTTAGCACATGTAATTACTATCTGCTCTAAATTTACTCAGATTAAACCTTTTCTATGCACTTAAGTATACGTTAAATATACCTCTGCAAAAAGACGCTTTTAAAAATACCGTTTTGTAGATTTTTTTTTAATTTTTTTTTTTAGGTGGTTTGTGGGTTTAGTGCTAAATTGCAGTACGACTCCTAACAAGAGTTCTGGACTGGCTGCTCTTTTCCGAAAAAGAACTACGACTAGAAACATTATGGAACGCAACCTGAAATATACGTCGGTAACAAACAACACATGTAAGGAAGAAAAAAAAAAAAAGTGAAATATTTTTCACTTTGTGATAGCATGTTAAAAGTCTTTTTGGCACAAAACCCCTTTAAGGAATTTAGCGTGTTTAAATGAGAGTGGTTGACGAGGCGTCTGTTCCATTGTCATCATAAGCTCACCTATAAGATAAAGGAGAACCTCGCACCATTAGATAGAGCCTCGATAAACACGACGCTAGTTTGAGACTGATCAGCCAAAGCAGCTACGTGTCGTTAAATGCTACTTTACTCTGAGGCGTTACGCGGCGCGGCTGAGAGTGGCCGACGGCAGGGGCGACGGGGGCATGCGCTTCGCCGGGGCGACGGTCGCCGCCACGCGTTTTCCTCGTTCGCTGCAAGCACTCCTGGCGGGCGTCGGCGTTCCGGAACGTCCCAGATTCCCGACTTCCAGGACCGGAGGGGGAAGGGCAGTGGACGGCGGGATCGTGGGTGAGCGGTGGGGGCCCGGGGGAGCTAGTGGGCCGGCGGGAGCGCGTGGGGACGGCAGTGGTTAGGGCAGTTCTTTCGCGCCCCCGCCGCGCCTTTGGCAGACGGTGAGGAGGGCGATTGTGAGGCTGGGAAGAGTTCTCGGGGGGCAGCGGTGGCGGTTAGCGGGGGGTCGTGGGGCGGGGAAGGGGGCACGGGGGTGGCGCTGGCGGGGGGTGAGTCTATAGCACTTCCATCGGAAGAATGGGGGCTGGAACAGCGTCCTCCTTGAAGGAAGCGAATGCATTTCTTTTTCCTCCTAGGAACAGTCAAGAGAGTTATCTGTGAATAAAGCGTGGATGCAAAGTGTCACCAGCACGAAGAAGAGCTCATGTTCAGTACAAATAGCATCAAAGGGGCACCTGGGGGGGGGGACACTCCATCTAACCAAACCCAGACTGACACGTGCATCGTCTAAAGTGTCGCTCAGGGGCTTCACCGGTGCGTGAGACTGCAGATGTTTAAACCTGTGAGAAACCAGCCTCTCGTCTTATGGGAATGGCAGAGCTGGGGTATGGAGTGGGGTAGGGGGGTGGGGGGGAAGGGGGTTTCCAGGTTCATTACCTCAACCTGCGCTTTTTTAGCAGGACTAGAAATCGCTACTGATTTCCCAGAAGACCACTGATAATCATTACTGGAAATCTTCTCAAATGCAAAAAAATATATATCATTGGTAAATAATTCTGAATCTGGTATTGAAAAGGCTCAGCTTTTTTTCTTCTACTGAAAGCCTGACTGACTGCGTTAGAATTTACGGTAGCGTCTCAATTCTAGCACGGCCCAGAACTGAAATACGACGAAAGGGATGCAAACAGCCTTCGTCTGCAAAATTTTTCAAAGGGGAGAGCTTCACATGCCTGAGATTTCACAGGAGACACATGTGAAGATTAAATGATTCATCAGAACATAAATGGCAGCCATCTGTCTTGAGTAAGCTGTGAGTAAGAATGCAATGCCAGTTACTGAACCCCTCTAATCTGACTGGACAATTATTTGGGCTGATTTACACCCACTTCCACTGCATGTATCACTGCACTATAAATTCTGTGTGGCAAAGTTTAATCATACCAGAAAATTACGTTTTCTGAATGAATCAGTCATTTGTTTGAACATTCTCACCTTACTCATTAACGGGATCGGCCCCTTCTCTCACACCCAGAAGATCAACTAATTGTCTGGTTTTCAATCTGACTCACAGTCTCATTTGTGTTTAATGTAGATATTTTGAGTCATGTTTCACGCTGGAAACAAATTGGATTTTTTTCCTTTAATGCCCCAAAGAGTAGCCCTTCCTTAAAAGCATGGCCCTACACTTTAGGAATTCAGCCTCTATTCAATCCACTCCCGTCCCTGAGCAGCAGGTGGCGCCATAGAGTTAGTGAGCCAGGCGCATGCAGAGCAGCGGCAGCAGCAGCGAGCAGCGTGCAGCAGAGTGAGAAGCACGGCGGTGCGGCGGTACTGACCTGCAGGGGCCACACCAGTCCGTTTGTTGGTTCAGGCCGAAGCGAGCTCGGCATTTCTTAGGCGAGCCGGGGTCTGAACACAAGGCGGCATGCGCGGAGGAAACGAGAGGGTCGCGGTGGGCAGGCGGGAGTAAGGGGACAAGACCCATACAGGAGAACAGGGGAAGGGAGGGAAGTACAGAGCAAAGGTGAAGGATGCATCAACAGGAAGGTAAGAAATAAGAAAGCAAACAAAACTGTTAGTCCCCCCCCCCCCCCACAGCTAAAGAGTTAAACCCCAACAGCCTGGTGCTGAAGAGAACAGCATTTGCATTTCACGCGGCATTCAGGAAGAGAACGGCAGGGAAGCCCAGAGAAGCGTGGCTGCGCTGTGTTACTGTATGCTACCGAGCGCACGTGTGCATAGGAATGCGGCAAAGAGCCAATCAGGGCGAGCCAATCGAGGAGAGCCAATCAGGGCGAGCCAATCGAGGAGAGCCAATCAGGGCGAGCCGGTGGCCCAAAACCTGGGCGTACCTGAGTTGGAGTCCTGCTGCTTCTCCCTTTTCCTTCTCTTCTTCTTCCCCTGTTTTAACCAAACGGCCAGAGAACCAAATTTAATACACAAGTAAATCAACACATACACACACGCGCCAACACACCAACCTCACACAGCTCATTCCTGTCACAAGTCACCTGATCTCTTACCTTTACCCCCTCCCCCCCCTTTCCTGCGATGTCACATAAGACAAAGCATAACATTCACACATCAAAATCATAATTCATTTATTTAAAAAAAAAAAAAATCCAGATGACTCAGTCGTTGGGTGAGGCTGATCTTATTTTTCCAAGTAGCGCGCCAGTGAGCCAGTGAGGATGAATAAAGATCAAAGGGAGCCACAGCCGGCAGCCGGATTTTACTCCATGCGCGGCCCTGTGGTCATTAGCCTGCCGTGACCGAGGGCGGCCATCGCGAATGCGCGGAAAGCGCAGACGGAAGATTCCGGCATGAAGGGACAGGGGCGTGGAAACCGGGGCTGGCTGACGTGAGAACGGAGGACACAAGCTCACTTTCTCACACTACCTGGGCAGAATCCGTGCTGTTTACACGACCCGGGGTCATGTGACCGAGTGGCTCGACTGCACATGGAGGTACAAAAGTCACCCCTCCCAGTGTAGTGACTGTTTGTGGCCCACAGGGGGCCCAACGCAAATGTGTGGTTTGACTCTTGGTAAACACCGCCGCGATGGCACCAAACTTTGGAGAACGCCATCTGCAGCGAAGCCGTCCTGGAGAGCTCCGGTAAAACTGCAGGCCGTCACGCTGCATCTATGCTCCCGCCGACCTTTGTGATACCGCAACAGACATGATCGCACGACTGGCTGATCGTCAGGCAGGTCTGTATATCCTTCTGGGTTTGTGGGGAGGGGGGGGAGGTAACTTTCCAGCAAGATGAACAATCTGCTGAGAAAACTGTCATGTGACCCCCCCCCCCCCCAGTCACACAAAGCTGCACGATGACTGTGTCACTAGTCATAGTGGAGGTCCTTTTCTCCCCCAGTCTGACCTTCCCCTCTCTAAAGGGACTACAATTATCAAGTTAATTCAGATCAGTCCAACTGGAACTAAAGAATGCAAGTTTGCAGATAATACACACACACACACACACACACACAGATTAAGTATCTATATCTTTATGGGGACTCTCCATTCATTTCTATGGGCATAACCCTAATCCCAGCAATGACAGCCGTAACCCCAACCCAGCCCTAACATTACCAGTAGGTAACCAAAGTACAAGCCTTTTGGCATTTGTAGTTTTTTGATTGCAGTCACCGATTTTTTATAAAACTGAATTTCCCCTTGTGGGTACTGAAAAAATTTCCCCGCAAGGTCAAAATAACAGGTTTTTATCACATTGCAGGGGTGCTCTCTCTCTCTCTTTCTCTCTCTGACAGACAGATAAACTCTCAGACAGACACACACACACACACACACACACACAGAGCAGAGACTCACATAGTTGTCCCTGGCTGACCAGCTGGGGTACAGTTGCATGTGTAGCTGTCGTTCCTTCCTGGCCAGCTCATAGTACTTGGCCTGCTCCTCCCTGGTTAGGGCGTGCCACTGGAGACAGAGCAGAGGGACGGCAGTGGGCTTCAGGACAGCTCGCTGGCTGACGTCCCCACGGCGCCGCCCTGGTGGCATGGCTGTGCACTTACCTTCCTGCCCAGGATCTGGTTGATGGCGGCACTCTCTTTCAAAGTGCACTCGGCGATCACCTTGGCTCGCATCTCCTTCATGTAGAGCATGAAGGCGTTCAGGGGCTTCTTAATCACTGGCTTCTTCGGTTCCTTCTCCTGCTTCGCCTGCTGATGGGGTTTGCTGTTTGGAGGGGGAGGGGGGGCACGAGGACAGACTTACGCCACGACACTCGATACAGACCCAGCTACCGGAACGCAGCGAGGGCCAATTTTCCCCACCAAAAAACATTACCTGCTGTTTGTGGGATTCGACCTTATAACATACCATTCCTAACACAAGTTCCCCAAAGCAACTCATCATATAAACTTCACATTTTATATGTTTGCAAGACGCTTATCCAAAACAACATACAATTTTAACAAAACAGGGTCAGACAGCCCTGGAGCAAACGGGGGTTAAGACCCTCACTGAAAGGCCCAATGGTGAAAACATTCTCCAGACCCTGGGATTTGAACCCGTGACCTTCCGGTCACAGGTGTAGTGTTTGAATCCACTGACCCACAGACATATACAAAATTCCACAGCTTCTCATCTTAGGCACAGAATTCGCAGGTCAAATTTGGTTTATAAGAAGGACCAACAACAATAAATAAATAAATAACAATTTAAACTAGGAGGATACTCACGAGTACATGTTGCGGTCGTACTGATCATGCTCGTGTTTGCCTGTAGAGGGCACTATGGCAGGGTGTGGGATCCCTGTGGGGTGCATGCCCGAAGGGCCCAGCATCAGGGAGTGAGAAAACCTGGGAAGACAGATGCCGGCATCTCCAATACCTGTACAGATAGGCTTCAGACACTAGGTGGCGCTCTATCAAACTGCATAGCAAAGCCAAAACAGCGGTAATAGATAGCAGTGAGCAACTGGTACATACAGTAGCCTTAAAGTAGGGTTCCCCAGTTCCGGTCCTGGATGGCCAGTCTGAGACAGTTCTGCAGATTTCCTTGCTCAAACAGGCCTACTAAACCTTGTAATTAGTGGATTCAGATGCGCATGAGCAGGGAAATCTGCACACCGTGCTGGATTCTCACCCTCCAGGACTAAAATTTGGAAACCCTGCCTTAAAGGTTAAAAATGACATTAAAAAGTTAAGAAACGACCTTTTGTTAACCCTGAGCTCTCCAGAATATCATTGCTGCTTAACTTTATTTCAGTTTCTTACTGGGTCGTCTGTCAAAACTAAGACAGTCATAGAAATTCAGAGTGCATATTAATCTCCGGGATCTGTTCCATCGTCTTTCCATCATATGGTTAAAGGCAGAAACCTTCGCACAGAGACGCAGACGCACACGAAGCATGTATGTGGCTGAATCCTGCATCGCAAGAGGCTGGGTCTCATTGCTCCTGACTTATAAAGGCAGGCAGGGCTGGACTGAGATTAAACAAAAATAAAAAAATAAAATAAAATTGCCCTGAAGTTTGGGGTCCCGCAAGTTCTTTTTGCAGTTCTGGGGTGGTGAAGCGCAGGGGGTTCCCTGTTCAATTCTGCTGGCCCACAAATCCATCAGAGAACTGGGGAAAATGTAATTGTAAGTGAAATTGGAAATGCAACTGTAAATGTAATTGCATGGCAGGCGGCCAGTCCAGCCCTGGAAGCTGGCACATTGAAGGCAGACATTTGCGGAAGGTGATGGTACGGAGTTGCTTTCTGTGCGAGTGTGGGGACGACCCCCCCCCAAAAAAAAGACACAAATAAGCGTGACGGCTGCTGCCACACCTAAAGCACGCGGGGGGGG